TGTAAAGCCGGGCTCGGTGGCTCAGCCTGTAATCCCGCGCCTTTGGGAGGCTGAGGTGAGTGGATTGCCTGAGCCCGCGGGTTCGAGACCCGCCTGGGCAGCGAGACCTCATCTCTACAATAAATCAAAAAATCAGCTGGGCGTGGTAGCGCATGCCTGTAATTCCAGCTACTTGGAAGGCTGAGGCGGAAGGATCGCCGGAGCCCAGCAGGTCGAGGCTGCGGTGGCCGGGAGCGGCCACTGCACTCCAGTCTGGGCGACAGAGTGAGACTCCAACTCAAAAAAAAAAAAAAAATGACTGTAATATTTTTGCTGCTGATTTTAATTTCAAATTGCCAATGTTGTGTACCAGAAATAAAAGTTAATTTCTAAGGCTAAAATAAGTGAGTAATTTGAATTTTTTTCCTTTTCAGTCCATATATAATCCTTTTATTTCTGTTTTTAGGAAATCTGGAAAAAGAATGCAAAGAAAAGGAGGAGAAAATAAATAAGATAAAATTAGTTGCCGTGAAGGCAAAGAAAGAACTAGATTCCAGCAGAAAAGAAGTAAGCTGACTTAAAAATGCAAGATTCAGGAATCTTACATTTTAAAAAAATAGAATTTTTCTGTCCATGAAAAACTCTTAACTTTACTGTGTATTTAAAATAGGCCCAGACTATAAGGGAAGAACTTGAATGTGTTCGGTCAGAAAAGGATCAGTTGTCTGCTTCCATGAGAGACCTCATTCAAGGAGCAGAAAGCTATAAGGTAAAAATAGTCATCGTAATAACAGTTGTAGTCATAACTTCTGAGTTAAGAATTGTACTGGGACCAGGCTCGGTGGCTCACCCTGTATCCCAGCACTTTGGGAGGCCAAGGTGAGTGGATTGCCTAAGCCTGTGGGTTTGAGACCCGCCTGGGCAACTTGGCGAGACTTCATCTCTACAATAAATCCAAAATTAGCCGGGCATGGTAGCGCACGCCTGTAGTTCCAACTACTTGGAAGGCTGATGCGGAAGGATCACCAGAGCCCAACAGGTCAAGGCTGCAGTGACCGGGACCAGCCACTGCACTTCAGTCTGGGTGACAGAGTGAGACTCCAACTCAAAAGAAAAAAAAAATTGTACTGGAGGCTGGGTGTGGTGGCTCAAGCCTGTATAATCCCATTACTTTGGGAGGCCGAGGTGAGGGGATAGCCTGAGCCCATGGGTTTGAGAACAGCCTGGGGAACTTGACGAGACCTCATCTCTAACATAAATAAAAAATAAGCTGGGCGTGGTGCACGCACCTGTAGTTCCAGCTACTTGGAAGGCTGAGGCGGAAGGATTGCAGGAGCCCAGCAGGTTGATGCTGGGTGGCCATGAGTATGCCACTGTCCTCCAGTCTAGGTGACAGAGTGAGACTCCAACTCAGAA